TAACAAAAACCTTTAAATTTATGCAGATCAATTATGACCTATATTAGAGATATCCAGGGTCCTATAAATACTCCCACACATATGATTAATACTTGTTATTTAATAGATATCAGTGAATACACTATGTCTACTGATATTCATTAAATAACTAGTTTATTTTATAGGTATGGCATAACAACCTGTGCAACCTCTTTAATACAAAGTGATTTCATGATGTAATGATAAATATTTAAAATTATTTATTTATTTTTATACTCTTCCGTCATTATCATTTGTTAACAAAAAATTTTTGATCTATTATATTACTTCGTACCAGCAAAGAATTTTAAGATCTTAAGGGATGTGGCAGCTTAGTAAAGTGGTCAAGTCGTCACCCTCTCCAAGCAGGGATGGTAAATGACCAGGTCATTTGCCTATTTTGTAAATAACCCAAAATGATCTTAAAATGACCAGTCATTTAGAGTCATTTAAATTTGAGTCATTTGCAAATGACTCATGACCAAATGACCGAGGTCATTTACAAATAACCAAGATCATCTCACTAATGCACAGTCACTTAGGTCATTTACAAATGAAAAGGTCATCTCACTAATGCACAGTCACATGAAAAGTCGATCAAATACATATATGAAACATTAATAAAAATGTTATGTACTTGCTAACTTGAGAGTTGTAAATTTACTTAATTTAAATAATTTTGGGTAACTTTGTGCTAGGTTCTGCCAATGCCCATGCCAGGCATATTAGCATCATACCGGGCATTAGTGCCTCATACCGTGCCTTTATCTATCAGAACAAAAATACTAAGCATATAATAGATGCAGGCATCAAAATGCTAGGCCCGGATGCCGTCATTTTATATTTATATGTATTTAAAAAAATGTTGGTTAAATTTTTGTGCATGTGTCCATACTCATGCTCATGCCGAATTTTTACGCCTGTGCTTATGTCCATGCCCAAGATTCTATTCCTGTCTGTGCCTGTACTTTTAGTTAGGCATTGGCACGAGCCCGATTTGCAGAACCTTACTTTGTGCAAGCTTCAGCAAGTGTAATATACGTACGTTGAAAAAGTGTGACTAATTGTTTTTGAATGCTAAAACGAACCAACTATCCAATCTAACACAATAAAATAATCTAAATAATACTTCGAGACTCCTAAAACCTTGAATTGGCAGGCTGAAAGAGGCGTGGAGAGACTTGGTCCGAGTCTCAAGGCTTTTCGGGTCTTACTGGAGTTTAAGATAGGTACAATTCTGACTTATACCCTTAGTACTTGGTTATAGACTGCAATTGGAAGTTAAAAATAATTCTTTCTCTTAAGTTTCAGCTTATCGTTAGGCTTGTCAATCGTTAAGGTTCTTAATGATTGTCACATGAATCACGTGGTTACGAATTTGAATCGCAGTATTTATTTGAGGTAACAATGCCATGGATCAGAGTTTAATCAATTGTTAATTTGTTATAAAAGGGGTTTGGATCAGTAATCGACTCTCTCTCTTCGATATCTTGGAGGAAGAAGGTTTTATTACGGTGATTTACTTTATTGGGTTTTATTTTATCAAAGGAACTTGGAGTCAACACTTTCGAAGGTCAAGATTCAACTTAAATTAGGAACAGAAAGACAAGTATAGGGTCACTACTTATACTATTATGACTTCGAAGTATCAAACTCAACTGAGTTTTCCCTTTATTCAATGCGAAAAGAGCTTCGCTTTTATATTTTTTGCACTCTTAATTAATTACAGGTTTTTACATTGCACTTACGTGCGAAATGGATTAAAGGTTCTAAAGGTACTAAAGGTCATAAAGGTCATAAATACTTTTAACGGCATTTATGGTCTTTACGCCATAAAAGGACAAAGTGACCTTAAGGGAATATATGACTTACCAGACATATATGTCATAAATGGTCGAAAAAGAACACGTTCAATATGGGGCTAAAATTAGAGTAATTACTATTTGGATTTCTATCTCTGTTGAGTTTTAACAATATAATTCTAATAAACTAAAATAAAATATGATAAAAAAAATGACAGGGTGCCGGGAACCCTTACAACGTACATACATAATAAACTTTTAAAATGGGGTTTTAAAGTTAATAACAATTAAGTGACGCATTTAAAAATAATTTTTAATAGCATTTTTACTATATTGAATAAATTGGAAAAATAAAGATTCTCTGGCATGAAATATAAAAAATGTAACACAACATTAGTCAAACCTTGAATTATTCAAATGTTAACTTTAGTTAGAGCCTTTTCAATAGTTCATGTACTATATATATTATACAAATTTAGAGACTGCAAACTGAAATTCAAAAAGGAAATTAAACAATAATTAATCATCAAGTGATATTGTTGTAGTTTCTTTTTTGAGTTTTAGTTCTTTCATTTAGTTTAGTAACTTTTATATAATTTGATATATAAAATTCACTAAACTAAAAAAATATACTACTTCCAAATTTATACTAACCGCTGAAAAAGACCCTTATTATTATTTAATGTAAACAATTGAAATCATATGAGTAGATACATTATAGCGATAACAGAATTATTGATTCGTAATCAATGCAGGTACCAGTTCTAATTCTAAAAACTTAAATTATAAAATAATTTTACCTATATGAATTCGTGTAGTGGGCGTCAGTCAAATTTGGAAAAGAAGGGGCATAGTTACTGATAAGTAAAAGGATAGGGTGAATTATGCGATATGGAAAATAATAATGTAATATGAGTAATAATTATGGATCCCGAGAACTCAAAATTATACAATAAAAGCCTTTATTGAAGTGTAAACTCATGAAATTTTAAATAGAAAATTAAAGAAAATATGATTAGTAATATGAAAAAAAAAGAGAAAGAGGATATTACCTAATAGTAATAAATAGTAGAACAATAAAAAAAAATAATTACAATTCAAAGAAAAAGAAAATCGTAAAAGGCACTTCGTCAATGAAACTTGAAATATTATGAGAAAAAAACGTAAAAGGCACTTCGTCAATGAAACCTGAAATAAGAATATTGTGAGAAAAAAAAAAAAAAAAGCGTAAAATGGAATATCTTATATATTTCATACAAAATTTTAAGAGAAACTCTTCATCCTAATTCTAGTATATATAGAAGCAAAATTGTTATACCAAATTTTTATAAAAACTGAGGGTTTGACCTTATATTTTTTATAAATAGGTAAAAAAAAGCATAATTTTCGAGAATTTTTTATTTGGTTAAATCTGGCAATCCAAAAGCAAACAAAAAGGCAGTTTGTCTTTCATGTGTATGAAAATATACCTTACCTGTTGCTCTCACGAAACCTGAATGTTCTGTTTCTAACAAGGCAAAATTATGTCGGAGCCATCTCCAAGATTGTGAGAATTTTAAAGCTGATTATAATGAGGATGAAGTTTTGAAAATTCTTTCGCGGTCTGTTCCTGAAGATGCTAGAAAAAAAAGAAAAGGTAATTAGATTAACGATAAGCTATAATGATTACTTGTACGGCATATTAATTATTTTTCAATAAAATTATAGCCACCTAAAAAGATTCTGAATTTGAAGATGAAAGTTCTGAAACATCGGCACCCACTTCATCATCTATTAACAAACCTACTTTAAAAACAACAAAGCAAGCAGTTTTTGCACATTATGTTGCACGTTCATTATCTGAGAAAGATAAATTGTACTTTGAAAACTTGGTACTACGTATGGTTGTGTCAAATGGTCTTTCTTTTACCTTTACAGAGAATCAAGAGACAAAAGATGTGTTTAATTTTATTATTCCAACCTTAAAATTACCTAACCGACAGGCAATAAGTGATCGAATTCTTCCAAAAATTTCTAAGAATTTAACTGAAGAAATTTTACAACAAGCGTGTGCAGATAAAATTGGCATAATAGCAGCTTTTGATGGCTGGACAAATATTAAGCAAGAGCATCTCTTTGGCGTTGTTTTAATAACATCTCGGGGTAAAACTTTAATTTGGAATGTGTGTGATATTAGCAACCAACGGTCAAAAACCGAAAATGCGAAACTTCATATTAAAAATATAATGAATAATGCAGATGAAAAAGGTATAAAAATCAACGGTTATGTGTCAGATTCTTCTGGAGAATATGCGGCTGCAAGGCAAGTGTTAAATAAATATAAATATGCAGAAACTTAATTTTTCAAATATGCAGTAACTGCTAGTTATAATTAAATTTAATAGTAATTATTTAATTACTATGTTATTATTACGTAGTATCGCATATTAAAATATTTAAGTTTCTGCAAAGTATTTAAATATTATAAATAATACAATATAATAAATTACTTATAGACGACAATTAAGAGTCGAGCATCCTGATAAAGTTTTTTTGCCATGTATAGCACATCAAGTTAACTTGGTTATTGGTGAGATTTTTAAAGAGTCTGATGCATACAAAAAAGTGTTAACAAATATGATTCATATTGTAAATTTTTTTCATGCATCTTCATATTTCACTGGATTATTACGAGATGAACAAATGTCATATTATAGACGAACTATTTCCCTTGTTACTCTAGCTGAAACACATTGGAACAGTTTTTATTTTTGTTTTTATTCAGTTTTAAAAACTGAGGCCACGCTCAAAGTAAGTAATCAATATTATTAATTATTGTCTTATTATAAAGAAAAAAAAAATTATATATTTAATAATTATATTAAAAATTAGACCTTGGTTACAAAGTTTTCACCTGCAAGAATTGGATCAGTTAGCACTTCTCGAAATGGATTTTCACGACAACAATTTACATCAGAAAATGCAGATACAAGCAAAACACTTCCGCATGATATTACATTAGTTGTACAAGATTCTAATTTTTAGAACCAACTTTATGAACTTCAAGATTTGCTATTTCCTCTATGTTGTGTGCTAAATAAACTTCAGAAAGACGTCGCAAGGCTACATGAAATTGCACACTGCTTTGGATGGCTTGTTAAGGTTTTTGCGAACCATAAGGATGAACATTTTTCCAAACATATGGTAACACGTTTAGAGAATCGATGGGCTCAGTGGGAACAACCTTTACTTCTACTTTCAATTATTTTGCATCCAAAATATCAACTTTCAGTGTTTTCTTCTAACAGTTCTTACACACATTTTGCTCAATGGTTAAATTACTACTACCACGTATGGTTTGGAAAAGTACCAATACGCATTTTATACAATATCAGAGAGAAGAATTTCCTTTAATAAAGAATCATACAATCAATTTGATGAAAATATTTTTGATTTTTGGGATATAGCAAAAGGCATAACACCAGAGTTAGCTCAATTGGCATTACAACTATTCGCTATATGTATTAATTCAGCTTCAGTTGAACGATTATGGTCTGCTATGGGTTATTTACATACAAAAAACTGAAACCGCTTGCCAGTATGTATATAAGATTTTTATGTTTTATTTTAATTTTATATTACTAATTTAAATTGATCAAAGTTTGAAAAGGTGCTGGCGATGAGTCAATTAAAAAGTGATATATTAATTAAGCGAAAATATAAAGAAATTGAAGCAGCTGAACGACAGTATAAACTAACCAATATCTCAGCTCCAATTCAACCTCATAATAATAATGAAAATAGAAATCAAGAAACAACAGAATTATCACCTGTTATAAGTGACGATGAAATTAACATATCAGCTCCTAATAGTCTATCGGCTGAACCAAGTGAATTATCTAAAGAAGATAAAGTCAATGAAGAAGCAGAATATTGGTCATACGTAATTGAAAGTTGGATAGAAATGGTAGATGCTGAGGGTCGTCTAGAAAGTGGAGAAACTATAAATAATGAAACAATTGAATTTGAATTCAGTAGACATATTAATCATCTGGCAGACGATCTACAGGCGAAATAGGATTTATTAGAATTATTTAATGATTCATTGGAGACCCCTATTTCTTTTGTTTTTCAATAAAAAATAGATAATTTAAATTTATAGCTAAATCCTAACCTTAAATTATATTAATTATTTTTGAATTTTTTTTTATAGCTGTTTAATAAATAAAAAAAAAATTTAGTTATATAATTAGAACAAAAAATCAATTTATCTTAGTTTAATGGCAATATAACGTTTGAAAGTAAATAAGTGATTGAAAATAAATGAATGATTTGTAAAATAATAATAAATACAGTGCGAAAGGTTAAATTTGTTTCATTGTTTTTATACGTTTTAAATCTATATAGTATCCAACAACATATTTTAATATTAGTTCCCACCTTTTTAGTACCATAACTCTAGCAAATGTAATACTTAACATTATTCTCGTCAGTAGAATCTTAACTTAATGATAAAATTTTACCTCTTACAATAATAGCACAAAGTGAATATCTAGCAGTAGCGCAACCATTTTTTGCCTTCATAAACCGCTCAATAGTTTTTGTTTTCTTCTTTATAACATTCTTACTGTCACGGAGTTTACCAGACTACTGTGTATTCATTGACTTTACTATCAGTCTTCACTCGCTTGGCTAATGTATACGATGACTGGAGTATTGTACCAGATACTACCATCGATAATATATTCACTCAGTTTATTCACTAAGAATAACTCAAAAGTAATTGCGGGAACCAAAGTTTTCCAAGTTCAAAGTTAGGCACTTCCCCTATTTGGATCGATGCCTTATATATTATTACTAATTGCTATTGATTACTACATTGTTCATGCAATCACTATTTTAGACTTTTAAATAAATTGTGATCAACCCATAATTAGATCATTGACATTCGATTAACGCGTACCCGATCACTAGTAACATGGGTGCCACGTAGCACCGCAACACTTACCTTCGTATTTTCCAACAGAATATTTATCCAAAGAATTTTGGCATTAAAAAAGTTGAAGTTATTACCTTCAGTTCTGGTATTTCTAAAAAAGAAAATTAGATTTGTCTTTAACGTTAACAGTAATTCTCTTTCTATAGAAATAATGCATCGAAAGTAAATTCCTTTAATAATCAACCTCAATAAAGAGAAGAATCTAGGATTTTCAATCTCTTTGTATAGAAATACTGTAATACATCAAGAATAATATGTATTTAATTGCAACTATTCTATGCTTATTTTCTGTACCATACATATTTACGAATATACTGATATTGATATTTTACAATACTTAAAAATTGACCAATCAGATTGTATTAATTTTCAAATGACCCAATCAGTCATTTGGCTTTTGAAATGACCAATGACTAGTCATTGGTCATTTGGGTCATTTCAGGTCATTTACTATCCCTGTCTCCAAGTAGCAAATCTAGGGTTCAAATCCCACGGATGACGAAAGTTTGAAAAATAAGCTTGCATTATGGTAACGGATCTTCATTAAGTTGGGGCTTAGATTAACCTGTAACTT